CTGTCTTTTCTCCTTTTATTAAGCAATTTTAATTTAAGTATGTAAAATAACAGCCATAATGTATTGCTGGCTCTGTAATGTTGGGAAATGCATGAATAACTGCCAGTAACAGCACAAGGAGGGGGTAAATGGTGATCAAACTTCTGCGGGCTGAGGAAGGAAAGACAGATGGTAACAGAGTAATTGTAACAATACATAATGGCAAATGTGAGATCATAATTGTAGCGCATTGTTGGGTTTGCAACATTAATAGGTGTAAATATACATAACGATAAAACCAGGCAGAAAGGGTAAAAGTAAACAGAGGCATCAAGGATTGCTATTTCTTTTTAAATTGTGTGCGTGTAAGTTCATGATAGGGGACGAGCGAGTGTGTGGTCAGAGACCAACTTTGCAGAGCCGGTCTTTCCATGCACCTTTATTTGGGCTCCAGGGATTGGACTCTAGTCACCAGGCTTGTGTACCAAAGCCTTCACCCACTGACCCATCTTATCAGTCAACAAGTAACATTACTACATTGGATTAAAATTGAGATAATAAAGTCTAAAGTTGAATTTGATATGCTAATACATACATATATGTATATGTGTGTATATATACTTAGAAACAGTGAAAAATCATTAATTTTAATTGCTACATTAGAACTTGATTGGTGAAAGAAATGTAGAGGGTAAGGACATGAAAGATGGAAAAAATTGAATAAATCTAACTACATTAAAAATAACATTAGATACAAATGAACCCCCAAAGCAATTAAAAGGTGGTCATCAGACTGGGTGAAGAGGTCTAACCACATGCTGTGTGGGGACAGACTGTAGCTCCAGACACACCCAGATAAAAATAAAACAATGAAATACAGTGTATCATGGTTCAGCCACTTTGACAGTCTGATGTTCCTCAAATGACTAAGTGGAGTTACCACAGGCCCCAGAAATTCCGCTTTTCAACAGATCCCACAAAGAAAACCTAAGACAACTTCATGTTCATTATCACTAACAGCAGAAAGGTACATACAACCCAAACATCCATCAAGGGACGAAGACAAATTTGTACGAAGACAAATTTTACATTTACAAATTTTACATTTGTACGAAGACATCTTTAGGGACTGAAAAGATGGCTCAGTGGGTAAAGCGCTTGCTCTGTAAGCTGGAGAATCGGAGCCTGGATCCCCGGCACCTACATAAAAGCCAAGCATTGCAACAGTGTCTATAACCCCAGTATTGGAGGGAGACAGATAGGTGGATCCCTGGGACAGCCAGTTAAGCCAAAATAGCGAGCTCCAGGCTCAGTGAAAGGCACAGACTCCAAAAATAAGGTGGAGAATACCAGCTTCGTAGTTACAGCATCAGAGCGTGACTGCACCTCCGAGAAGCTCCAGCTTCCAAGGAGCCAATGTCCTCTACACACATGTATATGTGCACACATAGGGACACATAACTAAAAATAAATTAAAAAAAAAAGATCGATAATGGAAAATACAGTCGTCAAAAACTGCGTCCTACACATATGCTTGTACACGTAAGTACACAGACACACAGACGAAACACACGCGTACAGGCATAGACATGCACATGCACACACCACTCATTCGAAAAAAAGAAAAAAAGACTGATCTATGCTACATCACAGTTAGACCTGAAGCATGCTAACTGAAAGAAAAAACAGTCACCAAAGACCACACATTACACAGTTCCACTTATGAGGGAAACAGGGAAATCTGTAGGCAGGAAGTCGATTAGTGATAGCCTAAGGCTGAGAAGAAAGATGCCTAATAGATAACTAGTAGGTAAGGAACTCACACCAGTGACCTCATGACTATTCAGCAAGCCCTCCATCACTCAGCTAAATCCCCACCTCAGCAGGGTAACCATTGTTAGTGTAGACACCCCTACCCCCAAATGAATCATTATTTGTCAGTATGTTCAATAGTTGAATTGTTTAGAATGTAAATTATAACTCAATAAGCCTGTTTAAAAAATTCTCCATAAACATTCTTGCTGAGGCAACCATTACACAGGCGCCGTGTCTTAGGGGCGTGACGAGAATGTGGCCCTGAGTCAGGCATGCGGACACAGACTAGCCCAGTGCAGGGATCCGCGATACTTGGTTTTCCTGTTTCTGCACTGTGTTTGAACATGGAGAAAGTTCAATGGTACCCTATCCACGCCAGCCATGACCCTCAGGATCATTCCAGTCCCGTTCTCCCAATACCCGCCTACAACTTTCCCAGCCTTCCCATTCCACGAACCTGGAATTCTCTCTCATTTTTTTATATGGGAATCCAGTATGCCCTGCTAAACTGGCTCCCTGCCCTTCCTCAACCTATGCCAATTTTATGGGCTAGCTCTGACTCTTCCAAGTAGTGAATGTAGACTACACCAAAGTAGCGCCCCCTACAGCGCTGCACACTGTGTAACCCCATGTGCCTGTCAAAATGAGCAGCTCCTAATTACAGAGCGGACATGCCCTATTCCCTTTCAGAAATCAGCTCTGCACCAGATGTGCCCACTTCCTGGCCTGGCTTTCACACTGTGCCTACTCTATAAAGCACCATGAAGAATCATGAGCCTCTGCCCCCACGTTCTGGGCAGCAAACCTTTAGCTAGGATCATGAGCTCCAAGGCACCTCTGCTACAGAATGAACACATGGCCTCCCTAAGGAGCTGGAGTCTCTAGCACCCTGCTTTGATGTCTCCAACTGCAGAGGCAGTAATGCCCCTGGGGTCATGAGGACTAAGTGACTGATACATAAGGAACAGAACAAGCACTGTTATTGCTTCTCTCTCTCCTCCTGATGACCATACCATATTTGTTGCCATTCCCTGCTCAAAGGCATAGAGATTCTCCTCGTTCTTTATTTTCATGTTTCTAATATCACGAGCTAGGCACCGGACAGGTATATGTAAGGGACCATGGTTATATGTAAGGGACCACACATCCTAGTATATATAAGAGAACATACATCCAAGTATAAGTAAGGGACCACGGTTATATGTAAGGGACCATATCTATGAGTATATATAAGGGATCATATATCCAGGTATATATAAGGATATATATTCCTTTACCAAGAATGAATGAAAAATTATGTTTCAATTTGTCTAGCCGTGTCAAGGATTTTAGGAATCTTTCAAAATAAAAACCAAAGCACATGGTCCCTGGAAATACTAGATTGAATATGTGGAATCAGGTTTCCCTTGGAAAATCCAGGCTGTCTCACTGCCTGAACGCTCTAGAAAGAATCCAAATACTCAACAGTTAGAGTGGTCACTGAGATGGCAGCAATCAACACAGGGGTCTTACACGAGCAAACGGAACGCCTGAGCGGACCCCTGAGCCTGAGCAAAACAAAGCAGGAAACAAGCATGGGGAAGACTACTCTGCCGCTCGGAATGCTACAGTGGCGAGACCTGACTATACACAGTACTTCACAGTGAAGGCACCTCTACTGTTCCAGTTCCCGTCCATACTAAAGATAATCATATAACCATAAGTCATAATCGATAGAGCTTTAAGAAAAATAGCAGTCATGTTGCTGATGCCTAAGAAACGAGATCCATAGCAGAGCGATTCCAAAACAAAACCCACTGGGGGAAAGCTGAGTTTCTGTATTACTAGAACTCTCACAGGAGTTAAGTTCCATGATAGGAAAAAAAAAAAAAAAAAAAACCCAAGTCCTTATGTTATGGTCAGTTTTCTTAACAGTGAGTCATTAGCTTTATTTATGTCAGGAACAATCATCTCTTTGACTCAAGCGATTCTAATTACATCCTCTCATTAGGTGTAATCAAGAACTGAAACCAAGCCAGTAAGAAGGCTCAGCGAGTTAGGGTGATTGCCCACAAGCCTATGCCGAGTTCAATCCCCAGGACCCAAATGGTGGAAGGAGTGACCCAACTCCTAAAGCTAACTCGACATCCAAATGATCCAAGGTGGCATACACACAAAATAACTAAATGAATAATACAATGTATTTCTAAAAGAATGTTCATCTCAGACTTTAAAAGCATACCCAAAGAACTTTCCTGTAGCAAAATTTTCACCTGTATTTCTCCAGTGCCTGAGCTAGAACCCAACTCAGAGAAAGAGAGAAAGTAGGGGAAAGGATGGAAGGCTTATCCACACATTACGTATGTGTTTCTCATGTCCCTCTACTTATGTATACAAGCAGATGCACATAACTATGATTCAAATGTATAAAGGATATATGCCCAGAGAGGTATGTATTACTAACACAGGTATATAGACACAAATGCACAGCAGAAATCCATCGTCTCCATGGGCCAGGAAGGCAATGTCAACAAGACAAGCTTCAAATACCCCAGGTGACAAACAGGGCTCTAACAATGAATATGCAGCTTCTCCAACACTTCCGGTCTCCCAACCATCAGCACTACTTAAATCAATGCCAGAAAAGAGAAAACAAAAAACAAAACAAAAGAGCAAAAGACCATCACCCCTTCGAGTAATTTTAATCAACAGACAATTCTACATGCAATTATAATTTATGAAACTTCTAATATCGCAATTGGAATTTTTCCTCAGTGCCAAAAGGTGCAGTCTGTCAGGGCATTAGCTACACACCAAGTCAGGACCTTAACTAGCACATATGTTTCCTGAAGGCCCTGATCACCCACTTCTAAATGTTTTCTACAACACTTTTGGCGTACAAAGCTTTGGTTTAGCACATCTGAAACTTTATTGATTGTGATGACTTGGTTTTTTTAAAAAGGTTAAAAAAAAAAGTCTTTGCTACACAATGTGGCTTTCCCAAGTGTGATCTTAAGATACTGAAAACAAACTGGCTGGAGTAAGAAGTCTGTACCAGTCTATCCAGGAAAACTGTTTCATTTTTGTATCAAAAGAAGCCGCCAGAACAAAGACTGAGGCGTGTGTGTGGGCTGCAGCATGCAGGCTCAACCTATTTCCACTCAGCTCACCACTGTGGCACACACCCCACTCTGTCACCCACTGTGGTTCAGGGACTTCCTCCTTACCTTTCCCATTTTGCCATGTGGTATACCAGGACAGGGTAAGGAAGGACGTGACAAACACCAGCGCAGTGGCCACAGTTCCATTTCGGAGCCTCATCTCATTTCACCATCACACTGGTTCACAAGTTGATGACGTCAAGCAAGACCCAGCCTCTCCCCAGCCTCACATCAACAGAAGCCAGAATGCCTTGGCCCCAAGCCAAAAAAAAAAAAAAAAAAAAAAAAAAAGGCAATTGATGATTTAGGTTCACTTCAGACGCTGGGCAGGTGTCAGGCAGCAAAGCAACAGTGGGTATTGCTATTCCAGATTGTCTTCGCAGTTTTTAGAGGCTGAGGGCTAAGGGCTGCTGCTTCTTTTTCTTCTTCCTGTCAGGGAAAGAAGAGAAAGGAAAATTCACTAAATAATGCAAAACAGAGGTTTCTCCATTTATTATTCAGCATCAGAGGCAGACTTTTGTCAAGACTAAACTGTACTTATGAAGACCATCTCCCCCATATTAAAATGACTCATTTCTTGTTGGTTTGTTTGTTTGTTTGTTTTCCTTGAGACAGGGTTTCTCTGTATAGCCCTGGCTGTCCTGGAACTCACTCTGTAGACCAGGCTGGCCTTGAACTCAGAAATCCGCCTGCCTCTGCCTCCCAAGTGCTGGGATTCAAGGCGTGCGCCACCACCACCTGGCCAAATGACTCATTTCTTATAGAAGAATTACAAAGGTCTTTTCCCTCCAAGGAAACAAGCTTCAAACTGTATTCCCTCCTGGCTGGTTCTGTCTAAGGAAAACATAAAAATTATGGTTGCTCACTTAAAGGGAGAAGTTGTGGGGCTCATAGATTCCCAAAGGGACCTCTGACAACTGCGCCTTGAGCTTCACCCCCACCCCTGGTTATTATTCAGCTGCATAATAGCAAGCAATGGTTAAGAAAATAAATAAAAATAAGGGAATGTACAACTGTAATAGTTTGAAGACTCCGAGGTCCAGCTCTGACTTATGACATTACTTAAGTCCCCCAGCATGCTCTTCTCATCCATGCCTCCAAGTTTCATCTATGAAATAAGAAAGCAATGGGCCCTGATGTCCCACATATCATAAATCACAAAAAGCTTACAATTATCAATATCCTCATCTTAAGTTTTAGAAAGAAAGCTGGAAATATTAACGTATTCAGAAGACGCAGTGATCCAGCCCATTCTCTCTGCAACAGCTCACCCCATTGGGTTCTTACGCTCAAGAAATGAGGGGGACTGGTGTTCATCTGACTAAAATTCTTTAGAACTGGAAAGACATGAGGTTGCTAAGCAGAATGCCCAGCACAAGATAGTCTTCAATAAATATCAACTGTATCGAAAAGAAAAATAAGCCAACAAATGCAGCCAGCCACTGTGCAGTCCCCTCTAGACATACCTGGTCTCAGCCCCTAAGGGCTTGTCAGGCAGTCTGAGATGTGCATTGATTTCTAGTGGCATCAAGGGGTGGCACCACATCTTGTGGTGGTACACTAAATGAGTCTCTAGCGGGGTGAGTTACTGCACCTCCAAAAACAACTACTGAACCCAAGAGACACATCTCTCAGAGGAAGGGCACGGCTGATTAAAGCAGCCATTTGCAGGCAATTCACAAACTACCACCTCAGCTATTTCTAGCACTGTGAATCACTGGGAATCTCCACTAGCCAAGGAAGACTACACAGGAACAAATGACAAAGAGTGATGTCAAGGATAGTCACTGTAGTTTACTGGCTTTTTTTTTCCTTCATTCTTGGCCTGTTACATGACTTAAACCTTCACTAAGTCCTTACAGTGCAAGCGCTACAAACCTTATTTTACACACGAGGAGGTAAACCCAATGAGAAACCCCAGTTTCAATAGCTTTTAACGCTCTTTTTCTGTTTGTTTTTCGAGACAGGGTTTCGAAACTGGTGTAGCTCTGGCTGTCTTGGAATTCCCTGTCCACCAGGCTAGCCTCGAACTCACAGAGATCTGCCTGCCTCTGCTTCCAAAGTGCTCAGACTAAAGGTGTGGGTCACCACAGCCTGGCAGATTTTTATCTGCCACCTTTTGTCCCTCAGAGCGACCACTTACAACATAGCAGGATGGAGACGCTGCAGGAGATGGTCTGCAGCCCAGATGAGACTACAGAGCCTGAGTGTTAACTTGGCTCGACAGAAAACATAAATTTTCAAAATTTATTACTTTTTTTTTTAAAAAATGTTTTCTGTTCTGCAGAAAGCACGTGCCTGTTATGGTATAAACTAGAGTATGAACAGAAAATTTCACAGTTCTAATGTGTAGCTCTCAACAAATTTCCCACTTCCTGCAGCCTTTGGCTAATCCATCCCTCCTGTGTCCCCAACAAAGCATGCCTGTTAGTTTCTCTGGCCAGGAGAACGTTCTACAAGCACTGCATTCCACTGCATCACTTGTGACTACCTGAGCACAGGGCATTCCAAAGTGGTTCTCCAAGCTGCTGAGACCTAATTTATTCACCACCACCCCCCCCATGGTTAACTTTATCACAACTACACCCGTGTTAACTGCCTACAACCAAAATCTTCATTGGGAAAACAAAATCCAATAATTTTTAATTCCACCAAGTACCTAATCTAGTAACTCAGTAAGACGATCAATAGTGACTTCTGACTATAAGGACGGATAAGGGCACTACCTCAGTAAACTGTAACTTGGAATTTTAAGCCTGGTATGACATTATCCAAACAGTTTCATTTTCTGTCCATATATAATGTAGTCATATTTTGCTTCAGGAAGGATTTTGTTGGAGGGGGTGGGGGGAGTGGAGCTGGTTATTAGAATAAATATCCAGCTGACATAAATCAGGAATTAGAGACATGCAGAATCTTTTTTTTTTTTTTTCAAGACAGGGTTTTTCTCTGTGTAGCCCTGGCCGTACTGGAACTCACTCTGTAGACCAGGCTGTCCTCGAACTCAGAAATCCGCCTGCCTCTGCCTCCCAAGTGCTGGGATTAAAGGCGTGCGCCACCACCGCCCGGCTCTTAATAAAACTTTTTAAATTATCATTTTAAAATGATTCTGTGTTGGGCAGTGGTGGCGCACGCCTTTAATCCCAGCACTTGGGAGGC